CCATCGGAAAGATGTCGACATTATTTCAAGATCTCTTGGAAATCAGGTTCTACCAGCCCGAGCCATAATAGTTTAGAATGTCGATGGACCTCAAAAATGAAGTTCAAGTTTGAGAAAATCCCATGGGCAAACATATCTGGATGAGATTTGTGAAAAATAAAAATACAGTTAAATTGAGAAATGTTTCTCTGTATGGTTTGTACTAAAAACTGCTTTTTATCTTCTAATTGAATAGACGTAACCTGTGCAAGAGAGAAGCTCGATCTTTTACGCTCATCTTCTCTTAAAATGGGCAATACTACATTTACATTTAAAGAAAGAAAAGAAAAAAGCTCAATCAAAGACCACCAAACAAATGATGCCAATCAACCATCCGTTGTCGAGCACACAACAAAAGAAGAACCGTCCACACTACAAATCATTTGGAATCCGGCATTTAACGAATTTAAATTTGGAGAGAACCCGCAAAGTGTCAATTCCTATCTTCCGAAAGGGTTCTCTAGCCCGATTTGGGAGCAACTGCCACGAGCTGATGAATATAAGCAAGATGTGGTCAAATATTTTTGGTTAAAACTGAGCGAATTTGGGGATCAAATTACAAAATTTGTTCCACCGAATATGTCCATAAATGAATCGAGCTATGTCTGCTTTTTATTTTTTGATCAAAAATTATTTCGTATTTCCATTCGATTATTTCACGATGGCAGGCACCATAATTATGATGAAATAATCGAAGCATATGCTAAAGCAGTGAATACTCCGGTCATCGCAACTGAAAATGGAAAGGAATTCTACTATGAAGACAACAGAATCAGCTATTTCTCACATTTTTCAACAGATAAAAGTCACAGTCTCATTGAAATTATTCGAAAAGATCAGACAACATCGGATGATGGCCATCGCTATTTTCGTTCGGCAACTGATCACCAGTCACGTAAGCCATCTGTTGAACCGTTGATCTGAGGTAGATATGCAACAACCCCAAGCTACGACTCGCTGATCGGCAGCGAACAGTTCGCTAATGAACATGTTCGGCCATCAAACGGTTCGCTACCTTAGATTTACAAAAATAGTTTGTGAAGGCTGAGATGGCGAGTGGGAAAAAACACGTAAAAGAAATTCGTATAAAATAGAAAAAATGAAGATTACACCAAACGAAGGAATAGTCATAATTACGCTGTAGTTGTAGGTAGTCATGTGAAGAAACGTTTGAATTATAGCAGCAACTTTATATTTATTTTATTAGAGTAAGTTCAAA